TTAATTATCATGATTTGTAATCATGCTTGTATTTAATGTGAAGTTATGATTATAAAATAGTTATTGATTATAAAATAGAAATCATTATAAAATAGAAATAGATATTGTAAATTAAATTACATTAATTTTTATTAAATGCTTTGTAATTTGAATATTATCCTAATGGTTTTTAAATTGATAATATATATATTTCAATATCTTTATGGGTTTATTTTGCCAAAAGAGATTAACAATTTAGTATAAGTTTGATGAAAACTTATGTTTTATTTTTCATTATTAATGATTGTATCATAAACCATTGAGTATTTAATCAATTTGTCAATTGTAAAAAGATATTTTCTGAAAATTATTTTTAAAAGCAGGAATTAAATTCTAATTAAATCATAGATATATTTTACAGAATAATCAGTAATATAGCCACGTTATTGAAATGTGTTGCACGGACAGCATTTGTGATATTAAACAATGTCTATTGCATACCTACATATGTACTATGGATGATGTTATTATTTCCTGTAAAAAGATATCAACCTCAAGTATATTGGCGAATCGAAGGCCTATTTTTTCATTGGCTGTTAGCAATGGTATCCATGTGGACTTGGTCTGCAGGTTACGACAGTAAGTAGAAATAATAAGATTATAAATTAGAAAAGAATAGATATTAAATTAAAAAAAATTTCTTTTTTTACAGTAATAGAACAAGGTGATGACATACAGAAGGTTATAAATGAGAAAACATTAGTTATAGCGAATCATCAGAGCACTGGTGATGTTCCTATATTAATGACAACATTTAACACTAAACCAAATGTTCTACCTAATTTAATGTGGATAATGGACAGAGTGTTCAAATTTACTAATTTTGGAATAGTCTCTATATTACATCAAGATTTTTTCATTGTTTCGGTAAGTGTGAGCTTTTGATAATATTTATATATAGATTATTAAATATGGATTTATTAATCGCGTGCTTCTTTTGATATAATGTAATATAATAAAATGCGGAGTATCTGTCATCTTCAACCAATATATATTAGATAACTATAGGGACGTAAACGAAGAGAAGAAAGTTTAAAACAATTAGAAAAACATCTGAAAGAGTCGTATATACCAAGAGATAGAAAATGGATGGTACTTTTTCCTGAAGGAGGCTTTCTGTGTAAAAGGCGAGAGACCTCGCAGAAATATGCTAAAAAGAATAATCTACCTATTCTTGAAAATGTAACTTTACCAAGAGTCGGAGCCATGCAGGCGATTTTTGATACCCTCGGACCAGCAGGGAGTAAGAATGCAGATCAACATTTGAATAGCCGACCAAGTAAAATTACATTCTATTATAAATATTATTAAATATTTTATTAAAGTAAAGAAGAAATAACAAATAACAATCAGCACTGTTAATAGTGTATATAATTTTTTTATAATATATTTTTTTCTAATCTAGTAAACCATATGCTGATTATTTATTTGATTTTGACACATAGTTTATTGCTGTTCACTATATTAAATATAAATATGAAAATAATTATATATATCAGATTAATTTATAAACAATATACATACTAAATATACTATTTAGCTTCTGTATTAGTTTTGCAATGTTATTTTTTTCTATTGCAAATTTAAAAATTTAAATAATTTTCAAATCATTTAGATGATGCACAGTTTTTACGCGGATACTTAGAAAAAAATAATAGAACAGTTTCATATAATTTTTATATTTTACCAATGTTTTAATATGTAATACATCTTAAATAACATTAAGAATCTAGTAGAAGTAGTTGTAATTATTATTAAAATTTATATAATATATAATATATATTATTCACAGGTTTGACAGTAGTTAATGCAGAAATTAGTTGGGTTCTTGATATAACAATAGCGTATCCTCAAGGTAAGCCACTTGACTTACCTACCATTATAACTGGCTCGAGACCTCCATGCGAGACCAAGTTATTTTATCGACTTTTCCCTAGTTCAGGGGTAAGTAACTTGACATAGAATATAATGATTTATGCAAATAAATATCTAGTGACATGTTATAAATAATATTTTTATCTTAGTTAATATAGTACCTTATGTTGTAGGTTCCTCGCGAACCAGAACAATTATCCAAATGGTTATATGATAGATGGGTAGAAAAAGAAGCACTATTGGAGCATTTTTATAAACATGGAACATTTCTTGACACAAACGGATCAAATAGAAGTTCCAAAGTACATCAGGATCCATTAAGATTCCTAGTCCTTCATTTATTTTTCATAACATCTAGTTATATACATTATAGCATGCTTACGTATGTGTTATCTTACTTTTGGTAAGATGTTTTTATACGTCATGTGTGCGGTTCACGACGGTCCAGTTTAAAGAAGAAAATCACACAGTAACAAAGTAAGATATCCTTGCCTTAAACCATTTTGATGTTTATGAGAATAGCCTCTACTTGAATGTACAGATTAAATTCGACAAGTATATTCTCATAATAAGGCGCTTATAATACTTATTTTTGTTTATTGCAATAATTGCAAATGATTATTTATAGTTAGTTTTGCGAGCGATATTTGTGTTCTTTGTTCTAAAACTAAGCTTTTAGACTTGATTTCAAACTGTTGATACATTTTACATTTATTTGAAATAACAGTCAAGATATAATAAACCTTTCATGATTTAATTTTTATAATTGCTATCTTAAATTTATTTTAAAAATACTCTATCTATATTGTACAAATATAGATTATATAGCAAACTTGCTTTTATGAATGAACATATTCATATATCTTCAAATTTGGTGATGGAACATTCTTAAAACGAAATCGTTAGTGACGCGCCGAGCTGTAGATTTATTTTCTTCACAAATATTGTAGGATACGAAAATATTTAATTGTAAATTTAGATAAATACACGCGCGTAGAAATAAACGTCTTATCTGTAATATCAAATATGTGATCTCTTTTATAGAGACAGCATAATGCTTTTTGCTGCAAATTTGTGGGACTGCATAAAAATGTGGCGTTTAGATTTTTTTATCAATATTAGACGATTTCACATCTATTAATTTATATGATCTTATAATGCATAATAAACACTCCGTGCGATTTTATAGATAAATTATATTTAGACATAGTTCACATTATCTTTTATTATCTTCACCGATAATATGTTTACACATATGTGGTACTTGGCAGCGTTGTGACAAGATCTTTGTAATATATAGCATTGCATGTGTGTCTTATATAAGTTGATTATAAAATGATATGCGTTCTATATAAAATGAGATCGCAATATAATAGCGAAAAGAATTTCTGTAAAACGGTAATAACCGAATCTTTTAAAAGAGTATCCATTCATTTGTGATACGAGCAAAAGATATTTTTTGAAGAAAATATGGTCTATCCTATAAACATAATTTTTTAACATCACATTAGGAATTTTGTAATAAGTTTGTAACTTTAGCGACACATAAATTAGAATTAGGTTAATGAAAAAATATGATTGTTTGAAAACTGGAAACAAATAAAAAAATTGTATCGGATGTGTATGAAGTATAGATGAGATATATATTTTTCACATCCGAAAACTATTAAACGAATACAAAAATTTTAGTCTTTTTCAAAATTGTGCTTTTGATTTTTTTCTTAGTATTTCCAATGGTTTGTAACTGCAAGATCTGTAATTACATATATTATAACTACTGTATTTTAATAACATATTTTAAAAATTAATATTGAAAATAATACAAAAATGTTAAGCTTATATATTAGATATATTGGATATATTGGATTATAAATGATTAATATTAATGATATTACGTAAAGTTTATTCAAATTCATTTTCGTTCATATCTACTGATATGCTAATCCATTACTTTCTGGTTTTTACTATCTATTTATAGTTTGTTTTATTTTTAAAGATAAAATGGTAAGTAAATTATTTTTCATTGTTATTACTTTTTATTACATTTTTATATTTTTTAGTAAATAGTAAATGATATTAAATTTTTATAAAATATATATACCAACTTAGTCTATTTTTTTGAAAATACTCAATTTTTTATTCCTCTCAAAATGTATAAAAATGGAGAAATAATAAATTACTATATTTGTATAAATAATTATGCAAATGTGTATTCTATTATTTATTTCTTAA